TGCATTGTGATGTTCAGGTCTTGCTGGTGTATGGTTCCTAGTCTCTGTTGGTGTCATATTAGGTTTTCTGTGGTTGAATTCCTTTTACATTGTCCTCTTCTCATCCTTTCTTCTGCTGGGTGTAGCAGGAGTCTCTTCCTCTCCTGGTGGGTAGGGGACTAAGGTTCCCTTCTGGTAGATGCAAACAGATCCAATACTCTGATGTCTGTCCTCTTCTCATGGATGGAGGTGGCACTGTTACCGGGGCCTTGGAAGTGTCCAGGTGTGCCAAATCCCGCTTTGGAGCTCAGATCTGGTGAACAGACCCCTGGTGTCAGATGTCTCTGAGCAGGGCCACCGAACTGGAACCAGAAATCACCTCTGGCTTACCTGGGCCAGTGCATGGAGGCAGAACTGTTACTGGGGCCTCAGCAATGTCCGGGTGTTTTGGATCCCACTGCAGAGTTCAGATCCTCTCTCTCATTCTGTGTGTGTGTGTGTGTGTGTGTGTGTGTGTGTGTGTGTGTGTGTGTGTGTGTGTTATAGGCGAGTTAAGACCATTAAGGACCATTGAATGCTTATTCTTGTTTGTTTTTGATTTGTTGTTGGAGATGGTATTGTGCGTGGATTTACCCTTCTTTTTCTTTTGACTATTGGTAAAGTGGGATTATCTATTGCCCATGTTTTTGTGAGTGTAAACTTCCTTAGGTTGGAGTTTTCCTTTCAGTACTTTCTGTAGGACTGGATTAGTGGCTATGTATTGTTTAAATCTGGTTTTGTGGTGGAATATCTTATTTTCTCCATCTATAGTGATTGAAAGCTTTGCTGGATATAGTAGTCTGGGCTGTCATCCGTGATCTCTTAGTGTTTGTAAAATATCTATCCAGGTCCCTCTAGCTTTCAGAGTTTCCATGGAGAAGTCTGGTGTAATTCTGATAGGTTTGCCTTTATATGTTACTTGGCTTTTTTCCTTTGCTACTCCTTGTACTTTTTTCTTTATTATGTACGGTTGGTGTTTTAATTATTATGTGGCGAGGGGACTTTCTTTTGTGGTCCGCTCTATTTGGCGTTCTGTAGGCTTCTTGTATTTTCATTGGTATGTCTTTCTTTAGGTTGGGAAAGTTTTCTTCTATGATTTTGTTGAATATGTTTTCAGCGCCTTTGAGTTGGATTTCTTCACCTTCTTCTATACCTATTATTCTTAGGTTTGGCTTTTTCACAGTATCCCATATTTCCTCGATATTTTGTGTTAGGGACTTTTTGGACTTAAGATTTTCTTTGGTTGATGAATCTATTTCTCCTAATGTATATTCAACACCTGAGATTCTTTCTTCCAT